AAGTATCGAATTTTGCAGTCAAGAAAGGAAGTAAGGAGAGTTCGGTGATCTCTTGGACAAATCACCCCCTACGACAGTCAAAATAGGGCCTGTACGCAAGGCCAAGGGCAAGGAAAGGTCCGAGGCTCTGACGGCGGAACGACCCGTGACACGATCCTACGCTCGGGCCCATAACATATACATCGACAAAAAATATATAGAAAAAAAAAGGCCAATCCAATCTAAACCTAAAGGTGACGTGTTAGCAATAAACGCAATCCACAGGTGTAGGTTCCTACCAACGGAAGATCAGTTGTGAGACAGGATCTGCTCTTCATAAATGGGCGCCTCACATCTACATCCACCATGCATTGAAAATATCTTCCATGAATAATAATTAATAAGTACGGAAGATGTTCCTAACGCATGATAGGATGTGCGTGTGAGGCGGCTGTGAGCGCAGGCATGAGGAGCAGATCCGGTCTCGATCAGTTGATGAATGATGACGTATAAAACTGCCAAGGAAACTGTTCGTTGCTGACGTGGAACTCTACCATTCTTTGCGTGTTAATCTTTCTCCGTAGCTTAAAGTTAAAATTCTACTTATCCTAAACTGACACTCAATCGAACGTCAGTCCAATCCTGCAAGAGACGAGACACCCCTAACGTGCACATAACGTTAAGGTTAGGAACTTAAAATTATATAAATACGAACTCCCCAAATCCTTTAACAAGCCAGAGCCCAGAGAATAAAATAAGGGCGGCTTTTGCGTACTTCTTCTGCAACCACGTCTTCACCTTCCCGACTGAAGCACACTCCTCCGTTATTGCTTATCCCATATACCCTGCTTCACAAACTTAACTTTCCATAGCCTTGGTTCCAGTTAGACAAACTAGATTGTATCAATGGGCTTCGTTCTAATCATGCTGTCGATCATGGAGCTGTTGGTGAAATCGTCGTCCAAGGCCATCAGTCGAGCTGACTTTCCAGATGGATTTGTCTTTGGAACTGCTTCTTCTGCTTATCAGGTCCTCTCTACCCCGCCAAAAAAACTTCAATTCTTTTGCTTTTGGATAAATTTATCAGGTTCCTTCTCTTTTCCTTTCAATCACAATTTCATGACTGATGAATATGGTGCCGTGACTTGTCCATGTGGTAGTTTGAAGGAGCTGTAAATGAAGGGAATAAAGGAGCCAGTATATGGGATACCTTCACTAGGCGACCAGGTTTGAATTCAAACTCGAAGATGGATGACAGGTACCTACTATAATCATCTTACAGATCAACTTTATCAAGCTCAATTCTGTGTTGTAAACAGGGAGGATTATGGACTTCAGCAACGCAGACGTGGCTGTTGATCAATATCACCGATTCAAGGTGAAATCAAAGGAATACTAACCAGGTTCAGAGGTGGATTGTTTGATTCATAAACTTTTAATATTGGAAGCCATCATAACCATTGGAAATTAAGAAGAATGACTTCATCTAGATAAGGATGTTAAGGTGGACTAGAACTATAATAAGATAAAAAGAACGGATCAAAACAATATACCATTTGAATATGTCATTTTAATATTTTTCCTTCAATATATGAAATAAAAGAACAAATCATGTCGGTGAGGATGAAGGTCAACAAATAGTATTCTAAGTTTGGTCAACATAATAATATATAGTCATGTGGTGTAGTCAAAACAAAAGGCAGTAATATTTCTGTTTTACCAACTGAACAATAGATATCCTCCATAAACAGACGGACGTGGACCTAATGAAGAACATTGGAATGGATGCTTACAGATTCTCAATATCATGGTCACGGATATTCCCTGGTAACACATAGCTTTCAACATTGCTCTTTTCAACTGACTTTTGCTTCTATATAGCTCACTCTTAGTCTCGTCTTTAACAGAGGGAAGTGGAGAACTCAATACAGAAGGAATAAAATACTACAATAACCTCATTGACTCTCTTCTAGAAAAAGGTCTCTCCTTCAGATAAGTGTAACTAAATTTTCATGAGATTCCAAATTACTGAAGATTCAAAGTTCTTTTTATTAGGAATACAACCATATGTCACCCTATACCACTGGGATCTTCCACAGGCGCTTGAAGATAAATACAATGGATGGTTGAGCAGAAAAATAGTGTAAGAATTCTATGTTACAGGTATTTTTGAAATAGTAACAAATAGTCTCTGCTGAATATGTGTCTATTAACTGCAGAAAAGACTTTGAGAATTTTGCGTTTACCTGCTTCCAAGCTTTCGGTGATAGAGTGAAGCAGTGGATTACTTTCAATGAGCCTCATGGGTTCTCACTCCAAGGTTATGACACAGGACTTCAAGCTCCAGGGAGATGTTCCATTCTCGGCCACTTGTTCTGCAAGAAGGGAAAATCATCCATTGAACCATATATAGTTGCTCACAATATCCTCTTATCTCATGCCACTGTCTTTCATACTTACCAGCTTCATTTCAAGGTGACCTATCATAATCCTAGATATGTTTCTCTGACTAGCAATAAAAATAATTCTATAAACCAGATTTAACAAGAAAAATTGTTCATAAAGCTTTTTTTATTTTGGTCTTTCAGGAAAAACAAGGAGGCTTTATTGGTATAGCACTTGATGCCAAATGGTATGAGCCAATATCTGATGCTGATGAGGATAAGTATGCTGCACAAAGAGCTATGGACTTCGGGATTGGATGGTAACCTCTCACAATATCTAATATAAATAAAAAGTTTAAGAAAAAAGAGAACATTTGGATGGTAAAGGATTAAATATGGGTATGTGATTAACATGGAAACAACTGCAAGCAGGTTTCTTGATCCCCTTTTCTTCGGGAAATATCCTCTTTCAATGCAGAATCTTGTGAAGCACAGGCTTCCTGAAATCACATCTGAGATGTCCAAACTTTTGGTAGGTTCATTGGATTTTATTGGCCTAAATCATTATACCACATTATATGCTCACAACGATCAGATTCGAATCCGTAAACTAGTATTGCAGGATGCTTCATCTGATGCTGCTGTTATTACAACATGTAAGATGCCAAAGCAATGCTCTTGTACTTGTTAACAAATTGGATCAAGTCAAGATCTGATAATGGTGTTGTATGTCTTTCATCTTAGCTTCTCGAGGTGGAATTGCAATTGGAGAGACAGTATGTCCAAGATATAAGCTTATTTTAAGATGTACCATAACCCATAGATTTTTCCACAAGGCTGTTCTCATGTATCTTTCCTACAGGCTGCATCTCACTGGCTGCATATTGTTCCATGGGGTATTCGCAAGTTAGCAAGATACGTAAAAGATAAATATGGGAATCCACCTGTCTTTATAACTGAAAATGGTAAGATAATATATCTCAATGACTAAAGCTCTAACTTCTTGGAGATATGTCATAATTTATTTTCACTGATGCAGGTATGGATGATCCAAACAAACCTTTCATGGCCTTGAGCACAGCTTTACAGGATAATAAGAGGATAAGCTACCATAGGGACTACCTGTCGAACTTATCTGCTGCTATAAGGTAATTAATCACCTTCTGTGCACTTGGTGTAGTTTCAGTGTGGGACTTTATGCAGTTTATGTTTGCTAACTTAAGAATCAGCTCCTTTTCTCATGTCTTTCACAATCAAGATCACAAATAACAAATAGAACATGAATCAAAACAGGCAAGATGGCTGTGATGTACGTGGTTATTTCATATGGTCATTACTTGACAACTGGGAATGGAACTCAGGCTACACAGTCCGATTTGGCCTGTACTATATAGACTACAAGAACAACCTTACAAGGATCCCCAAGGCTTCTGTTCAGTGGTTTAAAAGTTTTCTTGGTCAGAATGAAATGTTATCTGAGTAACCAATTTTCACTAATCTCTAACATTTTGCAGTAACCATATGTTGTACCATTTATGATCCATATGACATATGACATGTTGTATAAGATGACAAATACAGATTCTATGTAGACATGTTGTTGGATCTGCTCTCATTCAATTCTAATTTGATGTATAAAAATTGGTAATCATTAGATGTGTAAATGCAGACCCATGATTAGCATATTTCTCTTTGCTGTAATTTCAAAACAAAGACCTATTTGAGAAAGTGTATATAAAAGGGAGCCACCTCATACCTTACATATGGCCACACTGAACCAATTATTCAGTGCACATGCATCAGATGGGGAATATCCTGAAGAAAAAGCAAACTGATGGTTACCAAACTTTCCAACTCGGGGTTAAGACTTGAATGACTAGGAAAAAGAAATAATGTAGCAACAATAGAACACTTCATATATTGAGTTACCGATAAAAAAATCATATATCAAGTGTTTACTGTTTACGACATAGAACTACCCAGTTAAAAGGTCAAACAAAATCATCTACTCAATGATTCAATTATCTCCATGCAAGTAATAAGCAGCTAGGATTCACGGCAAAGACCCATCAAACATATCTTCAGCAGATGAGCAGAAACAGCCTATTTATTTTGCTTTTACTCCTTATATGAAATTATTAATGTCCTCTAGAATTGCCAGCCATCAAAATTCAATAATCAACTCCCAATGTTGCCTTTTATTTTAGTTAGTCATATCTTTGTTTTTTTCTAAACAGTTCAGACGGTGCAAAACGTTCATTAGATCAGGCCAATTTGACATGGGAGATACACTGCCTCATATTTGTCCTTGGTGGCTCCAGAAGCCCCCTTGTCAACCACATGTCCAGTTTAGACAAGAAGGAACCTACCCTTCAATCCTACCCAAACTGGATCTTTCCTTTTCTTTGTAATTGAAGATTAGAACCATTCTACACCAATATAAAGTAATTGATGAAATAAGCAAAATATCCATAATTTATGGTATGCATACATCAAATGTTTGGACTAACTTTACATAAAAGCAGCTGCAATATTCCTCTGTTTTCTTTGTTTCATTCTCAATAAGTTTTCCTGTTTCATCTCCTTTGAAAGTCAACTTCCTTGCGTAACACCATAGCCCTTATCTTAACAACTTTTTAACACAGCCTCAACAGCTCCCTCATAATGTCCATAAACTATCAAATACTTACATTAAGAAAATCCATGGCATGGTATGAATATTTTTTTAAGATCGGTTGATATGTTCTGAACTTCCAAGTTTTGCACTTAACTAAAATGGTCTAGTACTCAATGTTTGTTCTGGTTATCCAGGGTCTTGGGAGGAGTGGACTGGATATGGACCTACCCATTGGCATTTTCTTGCACAAAGTGGCAAGTCTCAGACTCAAACCCATATTTCCACGGTTTCCCAAGATTTTACTATTGCACTAAGCAAATCTCCTAGCTTTTACACTTGAATTATTAAAAAAAATAAAAAGTGAAGAAAATTATGCATACAAATGAGGACAGTATAATATCACCAAAATGATAACATGTACTCTTTCTGCTTGCAAGGATAATAGGCCAATCATGACTGGATCAAGTAGGCATGTTAGGCTCAACAAGGGGAGAATTTAATTGAAGGCTCTTATTACATTGGAAACTGGAATAACAGGTTATCAACCATTAAAAACATCGCTTTGGTGATTAGAATGGACTCAACTTACATAATATGCACCAAAGAAAATTATCGATGCGCATCACAAAGGCACTTGTAGGCCAGAGTGGGGAAACTTTTCGACCGCCTAGCTTCAGAAGCTTCTTTTGTTCCTATAGTTTTGACTCCTTGACCAGCCCATCCACCACTGCTTACAGGAGATCAGCATTCATATGTCATCAACTTAGACTTTATTCGCAGAGCTCAAGGGCCAGATCAAAATCTCCCTGCTCACAGAGAAAAGGGACAAGTGCCTCAAAATTCTGTCTACTCGGAATTAATTTTCTGCAATTCACAGTAAAGTCACTTCGCTGCTTCTAAATTTGCAGCATTGAAAAACCCTTTAATCAAAGCATTAAAGCCAAATATATCACTTTTCATTCCTTTCGTATCCAATTCCACAACTAACTTAACCGCCTCTAACGCAAGAAACATGCCCCGCGGCTTGACATCTGGGACGCAAAAAATCTATACCATTCTACCCAAATCATCCCTTTCCATCTTACTAATAAAGGAAAGCGCAGAATCCGATAAACTCATGTCACAGAAAGCCCAGATCATAATACTGTACTATCTGGAGAATCCGATAAATTCACGGAAAATCTAACCAAGTTTATAGACCTTGTTGAAATCGGTGCAAGTCGATATGGAGAAGGCACCAAGGATTTCAGCGTGCGGGTGCATTTTAACTCGCGCATTTGATCGAACTGTCTGCAGGCACGTTCAAACATACCCGATTGGCGATAGAGAGAAACGTATCAGATCACATATCCTTATTCGATATGTCGTTTTACTTGTTCTGGTGCTCGATTATATCGTCAACCGGTGATAATTTCTTTGCCCTGACAAGCCGGTAGATCGTAAACTCTGCTTTTGACGAGTGTTTTGAGGATTCGTTCTCAGAAGAGTCCGTCAGAGACAGTCGTGAGAGTTCTTTGAGATAAAAAATGCACAATTTTTTGCTGCATAAAAAGTTAGAAGCGTATGGGACAGCCGATAAATGTTTCAGGTAGGGGTGATCATGGGGCGGCATGGGCCAGGTTAGGCATGTTCGCCCTTAGTTCCAGGGATAAGTGTTTTAAACTTTTAATTGGTTGGCTTTGGTCCAGGTCAGGGTAGTAGATCTGGTTCCGACTCGATAAATGTGGAGAACCAGTTTTTTTTTTTTTTAAATCTTTTTCATAACAAGGAGTTGCTACACTAGACTAGACTGGGGTAGCACAACCCCACAAATCACTCTAACAAATTAAGTCGAGGTCCCAAGGGAGATTACAGAGGTTAAGAGAAATATAACCATTACCAACCGAATTAGCCTCACCAGCAATCCAGTCTGCGGCTAAATTAGCTTCTCTAAACACGTGTCTATATTCCACCCCATTCATGCCTAAACTGGTCTCTGAATCTCTGATCATTAACCAGTCCTTCACAATATTTCTAAGCGTCTAGGGAGGCTTAATTTGACCTCTAAGACAAGAAATAACTATTCTCGAATCTCCTTTTATGATAATCTCTTGCACCGCAAGGTTTCCAGCCAGATTATGGGCTTCTCATGCAACCCGGGCATCCACGGCGTTGATGATAGAGATGCCAAGATTACACCTCTTGTAATCCAAAACTCTGCCTAGGTGATTTCTAGCCACAGCCGCAACCGAATATTTTCCATCACTCGAATAAAAAAAAAATTAGGGGTATTTTTGAAATAAATAACTATGGATTCATACTTTTGAACATTTTCCACTTAGTTTATAGGTACTTTTGGAATAAACAATCATGAGTCCATGCCTCAAACATTTTCTACTTAGTTTAAATGATCGTGTTAATATTTTTATATGACAAAATAAATAGTTCTTAACGAAAGGTCAATTAAGTAAATAAGTTGCAAATTATAAGGAATGTTTTAGTAAAATATAAACTATAAGGCAGGTTTAAATAATTCTATGAAACTATAGGGGTATTCTAATAAATTATCCATTATTAATTGGCAATTGCAACTATCAGATCTGACCTAAAAAGAATGCACTTTGGATTTTCTTGCCCACAATTCTCTACCCATTGCCCACTGTCTACCCGCCTTAAATTGCAGTCACACACTGTCATCTTGTACTGTGAGATACGTGGCTGCAGTATACCAAGGGTAGGGTGTGGGTAGAAAAAGTAGGAAATCTGAGGGTCCATTTGATTCGTAGTCAGAATTGGAATCGGAATCGGAATCGGAATCGGAATCGGAACCGGAATGGTCCATACCCATAGTCTGTTTGGTTCAGACAGGAATGAAAATAGGAATTGAAATCAACAGGAATGAGATTTCATTCCCAAGGGAGGGGCAGGGAATGGCCATTCCCTCAAATGAGGGAATACCATTCCAGCAGGAATGAGAATGAGACTCCAATTCCATCCAACCAAACAGTTAGAATTGGAATAGGCTATTCCGATTCCGATTCCAGACCCCTATTCCCATGAACCAAATGGGGCCTAAGTTCATAAGAGTGGCCTGGCCAACTTATACTCTTAACTTGAGGTGCAACTTTCTTGGGTAGGTTGGGTCAGGTTGAGGTCAACACTGGCTCAACCATGCAAATCATGGGCTTGGTTCAGGCCCAACCTGATGTCAAATCCAACTTTCGGTCAAGTTTAAAAGAACTTGTGAATATATTTTGGTACAATCATTTTTTATTGGGATTCATAGCCAAACTAAGTAGTAGAATGGATTGAAAGAAAGATATTTGTATATGTATGTATAATTAGAAAAAAAGATATTTTAATATAAATAAAATTTATATATTTATTTATTTATTCTATAAAAGGTAGCCACGCTGTTTATAATTAAATAAAATGTATATTAAAATAGGGTTGGGCATGGTCTATCCAGGGTCTCAACCCAAGCCCAACCAGGTTTAGGTCAGGCCTAAATTTTCTATCTAGGCCAAGATCAAAGCCCAAAAACTCAGGCCTCGGGTTGGACTCAAATTGGGCCTGCCCAAGTTGCAACTCTACTTTTAAGCAGTAATTTAACGATAAACCCATTTATCTGTTGAATTGACACAATTGAATATTAATATGATAATATTATAAATATATCAAGAAAAAAGTTGACGTTATAATGTTACTTGTATAATCGGTTTGGCTTTTAATCCATTCGGAATAACTAAAATCAACCCTGATCCAATTATAATAGAAATACATGGTCAGACCCAGACCATATATAGTAGCTTGTAGACAACACCAACAAAAGTGGGGTACAATTATACAAGGCTGAAGTAAAATTATATGCAAAAAATAAATAAAAGACAAAATTGACCAACTAGTGAACATTTTAACTGGAACTCATTCATTGGTTGAAATGTCTAGTGAGCTTTCTCAAATGACCAAGAAATCTTACCTGTACAAATTAGTTTGGAGAGTTGAGAGTTGAGAAGGATTGTCAACAGTTATTCTCCTCACCTTTTCTTCATTAGAATTGGGTTAATCTCTTAAATTATTTCTACTATTCATGAAATTGACAAACTGTATCCTTACTGTTTACATATTATCTTAAGCTACCCATAAATTTTCTGATAATTGTCTAAAACCTCCTTTTGCAATACACCGATTATCCTATTCAAACCAATGCACTGGAGTGAACTTTGATTATTAGGCTCAGTTTGGAAGGAGTACAAATTCAAATATGTATGGTATAAATACATAAAAATAATACAAAATACATAGTTTTGTACTCTACATATTTGTGATTGTACTCCTTAGGCTCAGTTTGGAAGTACAAATACAAATGTGTAGAGTGCAAAACCTTGTATTTTGTATATATTTGCACTGTACATATTTGTATTTGTATTCTTTTCAAACTAAGTATTAGGAAATAGGATTTGATACTCGCAAGACCATGCTCACACCATTCTCACAAGTCCATTGCAGCCTTGCATTGCGAACATCTTCCCATGAAAAAACACATGCAATGTGAGTCCATTACAAATGGACCAGGTCCAATCCAATCCAATGAATATTTTGGACCATTTTGGACTGGTCCAATTCAATGTTTGGATCATCCAATCTCTTCAAATTTGTTTTAATTTAGATTGGTTTCAATCCAAATCTGGTCCATTGACACCTATATTCTTATCTTATATTAATGGACCAAATATTGGCTTTGTTGGTGCTCGAATTGGTCGAGAGCAACACAATAAATTTGCTTAGCTTCCAGGACGAGATGGCTAGTGGTTGGATCTGAGGGGTGTCGAGGCCGAGGGCCAGAGGAGCTCGAAGTGTGCTGTGGTCGAGGGTCGATGAAGTTTGTCTGAGGTCAACTGATGCCGGTTGAGGCCGAGTATCTATGAGGAAGGGAACATCAGAGGCCTCGGGTGATAACTCGAGGCAGGGACTCCGACGGTCAAGTTAGTGAGGGCATAGTAGATAAGGCGGACAAGGTCCAAGGAGTTTAGACGAGGTTGCCAAAAAGCTAGAGAGCAAGAGAGATGGGGAGAATGGGAGTTTGGGCTCCTGTTTTCGGATCCTTTACCTTGGGGGAGTTATGCCCTACTTATACTTGAGGTCTCCTGACAATGGACGCATGCAAACAGTCAGGATGCGATCAGGCCTTGACAGGGTAGCCATCCGAGCTCGCCGCATGTGGTCGCGCCATTGGTCCCGCACTGGTGTCGACCTCCGCCCTACCAAATGCGCTGACTGGCTCCGCGCTATGCCACGTGTTGACATGCCATAGGCCTGCCGAAAGCGCCTACATCATTTGTCCCCCACTCTCGAGGTCGTGGTGGAGGTCTCAGTTGAGGACCTTAGCTTCGGCCGAAGAGACTATCATTCGAGCTGAGCTAAGCTGAATAGTACCAGGCTCAAGCCAGAACCTTGAGCTCGAGCTCGATTTTGAGAAAAAAAATTTTATAAAAATAAAAAATTATATATATATATATTTTTTTTTTTATTTGACATTTAAAAAATTAAGAATTATAATATTCGAGCCAGCTCGCGAGCCTCATGAGCCAAGCTCTAGTATGCTCGAACTCGAGCTCGGTTGAAACCAAGCCGAGTCGAGTAGCTCGTGAAAAGCTCGACTCGTTGCCACCCCTAGGTTGGAGAGTGCGGTCTTGGGGCGTGGAGGTGCTGGTGCCAACTTTGTAGCTGCTGAGGATAGCCCAGTCCGAGAGCGTGGAGACATCGACTACAACTGAGGCCTTATCGGTGGTAGTCCGGCCCATGAGCGTGTAGACGTCGTGGGGGGCTGAAGAGCATGGAGGCGTCGGCCTCAGCTCTAGGGTAGCTCCGTATCGTGCTTTCTATGGGTATGAGGTGCACGTGCCCTTAGTCACATGCTTCAAATGAGTCGATGAGTCCGTGCGTGGACCAGGCATCGGCTTTTTGGCCAGTCACCGTTGTGTGAGGTGTAGTCGACGGGTGGACGCGCCATGGCCGCACTCGAGACGAATTTCGGCATTGGGTGTTGTCCGCACACGTAGCAGGTCTCGGCATTGAAGGTTTGGACCATGGCCGAAGTGGGCATCAGGTTGCAACTGTTCGTGAGAGCACCCACGACCACATGGTTAAAAGCCATGTGCTCTACCAGCTGAGCTAAGAGTGCAAAATGCAATCTCAGAAAGTACACCCTCAGGGACTCGAACCCTGGACCCATTGATTAAGAGTCAATTGCTCTACCAGCTGAGCTAAGAGTGCAAAATGCAATCTCAGAAAGTACACCCTCAGGGACTCGAACCCTGGACCCATTGATTAAGAGTCAATTGCTCTACCAGCTGAGCTAAGACGACACCAATTGTTGGTGCTCGGATTGGCTGAGGGCAACATAGTAAATTTGCTTAGCTTCCAGGACGAGATGACTAGTGGTTGGATCCGACGGGTGCCAAGGCCAAGGGCCGGAGGAGCTCGGAGTTCGCTACGGCTGAGGGTCGATGAAGTATGCCCGAGGTCGGTTGATGCCGGCTAAGGTCGAGTACCTGCAAGGAAGGGAACATCAGAGGCCCCGGGTGATAACCCAAGGCGGGGACTCTGATGGTCAAGTTAGTGAGGGCATAGCAGATAAGGTGGACAAGGTCCAAGGAGTTTGGACGAGGTCGCTAAAAAGCTAGAGAGGAAGAGAGATGGGGAGAATGGGAGTCTAGGCTCCAGTTTTCGGATCCTTTACCTTGAGGAAGGTTATGCCCTACTTATACTTGAGGTCGCTTGACAGCGGATGCATATGGATGATAGGTTGTGATTGGCTCTGACAAGGTGGTCATCCAAGCTCGTCGCGTGTAGTCACACCATTGGTCCCGTGCTGGGCACCGACCTCCGCCCTACCAAACGCGTTGACTGGCTTCGCACTATGCCACATGTCAACCAAAAGCGCCTACATCAGGCTTAATTCAACCCAATCCAATTTAAAAATATTATGGACGAACTAGGTCCAATCCAATCTAATAATAAATATTTGGGAGAATGAGTGAATTGATGCCAAGTTCACGGGCATATGCGGTTTGGGGCTGTCATTCAGAAATCTGCATTGTGTTGTAGATAGTTAACCCTAAATGTTTTGTACTGGATTGTTGGCCTGTCGAATCCATCCAAATTAATTTTGGACTGGATGAACCGGTCCATTGACACCCTTATGTGTGAGCACGGTCGGTCTTCTTACCTTTAAAATTCAATACAATCATTTTCGATCATCCATTCATGAATTGCCACGTTGCTTTAAACAGTATTTGAGGTCAAAAGAAGAAAAAGCAGGAAACTGCTCACCGGAAGAAGCGGTAATGGGTATGTAATAAAATGAAGATTAAAAGAATGTATAAGGGATCATTGTAATAAAATGAAGATTAAATGTAGCATTGTAGATAGGGTTTGGTTAAGTGAGCTTTTTGGTAACTGAATTTGGTTGGTTAACCGAGCTTATATTTATCTTTTTATGATGTATTTATATTTCCATTCTAACTAACCACTGATTGAATGTGAAACAGTCAACGTTTTCTTGAGGTTTGTCATGCATGGTAGCTGAGAATCAGTCGGGCCTGACTCGTTTCTCTTGAATATTTGAATGAGTTGTGTTTTTTTCCGGCAGATAGCTTTGTTTTGTTGTGATCCCACTGGTCCTTTTGTGGACCTCTCCTTCTGATACTAGCTAGTCTAGTTTTTTGTTTTGCATCTTTTAGTAATTTAGTCTATGTTTTGATGAGTTTTTAATTTTGAGCTTTGGGCCATGGGAGATAAAAATTGAGCTGAAAAGCGTTTAGAACGAAGATATGAAAAACAAATCATTAAAAAGTTGGGCTTCAGAGAATCTACAATTCATCTCATCAAATAATCACTTATTAATGTACTGGGTGACTGTCATCACCAACCATCCCGGCCGGCCCGTATCCACATTGGTTGGTTAATTAGATTGTACCATGCTAGTTATGTTGCTTGTCAATCTTCTTATTCTCCGCTAGTTTCTGAGTTTTCAGGAATCAACAAATTAACATATCACATGGAGGTCCTTTTGGAGAGAGGTCATCGTATCGGTCCTCTCTTTAGGCCCCTTTATTATTATTTAATAATCTTTAACCTGTTGGTTGTTGAGGCCATTTTTCTACTAATTAGGATAGGTTCCATAAAAGCTAGCTCTTATCCGAAGTGGTCATTCTGGGTCTTCTGATTCCTGCTTATTCCCTCCCTCCTAATAACATTAAGATCTTTCTCTGCACCGTGCTAGCCCCGAAAGTCTGAAACTGAAAGAAATTGCATTCAATTCCCAAACTTGAAAAGCCTTTTAAGTGATAACATTGACAGCTGCCGGTGATCTCCCCCAGTTGTTTTCCTTGCTTTGCAATTAGACCACTGGAGTGTTTATATTCATTCAGTTAAGAAGGGAAACTACATGGAATCCCATGCTAAAAGTTAACCTACTTGCGCCAATAAACTGTGATCATGATGGGATAGTACGGCAACTCAACAAACTACTTTCGAAGATTCTCGGCTCCCTGACTGCTCTCCCCTCCATAAATGTGACTGTGTGAGAGTACTAACTCCATAACCCAACTTCCTTCCCACAACCCTCCCTCTCAGAGATCATCTCCAATATTTATAGACATATTCATGGCGGATCCACTCATGGATGGTCTCTGCATGGTCAATGAAGAGAACAGCGGGAGAAGAGCAGGTCGGGGTTGGCGTAAGTATGACAAGACAACAGTTTTCAAGTCTAAGAATCTCGAAGCCGAGAGGAAGAGGAGGAAGAAACTAAAAGACAAGCTCATGAGTTTACGTGCATTAGTCCCAATTATAACAAATGCAATCACTCCAACTTCTCTGTTTCCTTTTCCCTCTAGCTATCTTTGATCAGTCCTGCCTATTGGAGTATTGGGTGTCACCCCATATAAGACTTCACCGAGTTTATTTGAATTATCTGTTGGGTTTTCAGATGAATAAAGCCGCCATCATCGATGATGCGATCAATTATATTAAGGGCCTAAAGGAGCAAGTGAAGGGTCTCAGTGAACAGCTTCAAGAGATAGCAGTGCCGTGTGAAGAGGAAATACACAAGCCCAGGAGTGATGAGGATGATACGACTGGTGGGATTCAGAAATGCGATATAAAGGTAATTCTCTCTAGACCTTTGTCTAAACGTACGTCTTCCTTAATTTATTGTCTGGGAAGATTTTGAGCCTTCCAGTTTTGTTACTTAATTTCCACAGACAGATGTCAAAGTGACTCGTGTAGATGAGAATAAGTTGTGTATAAAGATAACCTCTGAGAAGAAGAGAGGAGGATTCACTAAACTGATGGAGGCCATGAGTGGTCTAGGCTTTGAGGTTACTGACACCAGCCTTACCACCTCGGAAGGTGTAAGTATGAGTTCCTTCTATGTAGAGGTAAGTTGGAAATTAAAAAGGAAAAAAATTTTTTGTTGCAGTTACCACATACACTTACATGTGATCACATTACACATATAATAGTTTTTTTCTCTTCTTTTTCAAAAGAAAGAAGCCACTCAAAACATAATTAGGATAACATCAGGATTCAGGAGCCCCCTTTTACAGCAGGAAATGGACTGATGAATTAGGGGGGTGTGTGAGTAAAAGGAAAGAAAGATTTGCTAGCTGTTTTTGGCCTTTCTAGCTATGTCATGAGCTACACACATGTATTTGGAAAGAGTACAAATGCAAATATGTAGAGTGCAAAACCTTATATTTTGTATTATTTTCTATGTATTTGCATTTGTACTCTTTCCAAACTGAGTGAATATGTAGAGACTCCATGATGCCCAAAACTTTTCTTTATCTTGGGTGATTATTAACTATTCAAACTTCAAATTTTAGAATAGTATTTGTTCTAATTATTAACTAGCTATATGATTTATCTCTGTGATATTTCATTTTCTTTTTCAGGGAACTCATGTTGGAAAGGTGCAGGCGGTTGGGCAACTGAGAGAGTTTTTGTTAGGGAGGATTAGAGGCCTCTAGAGCAGCAAAACACTTGGAGTTTCATGGAAGATATCCCCAAGTTCATCTGCCTGATTAAAATTAAAATTAAACATCTGTGCTTCTGATGTTTAGTTACGTTGCTATTCTACAACTCATAGCTCATTGGCCAATCATTGGATAGAGTTAATAATTAGTAACTCTGTTGTTAAATTAAAATACCATCATGAACGCTTTAAATTTGATTTTAATATATAATAATAATTTTCATTATATGTATATATATTTTTGGATAGATATTCACTTAAGTAATTGATTAAGGGCTGAGTGTCAAACAAATAATTAACGAAAGTAGGCCGTCAGTAAATGGATTTGTTTTGTTAAGATCATTAGATGGATGGTATAAATAGATCAAAGCACAACTTTTCTTCGTATTTAGACTCGATGTGGTTGTTATGTAGGCATTTTACCGTATCAATATCATAGAGGAAGTTCAAATATTTGTATCACCCTTTACATCAAGCTAAGTGAATGGAGTGTAAGGGAACATGTCAAAACACCTTCCTTTCCCTTCCACAGGGGGTATTTCCACTTCAGTTGTCTTTTGAGGTGCCTAGCTGATTTATTCACGGGACCGGCTTCAGGCTCGGTATTATAACGTTTCAGGTTTAGGTTTTGGGTTGGACCATTAAATTTTGACAAAAACTAAGCCCGAACTCGATTCATGAACAGATTTAGGGTCTGTTTGGTTCAAGGAAATAAAAGTCTGGAATCGAAATAGGAATGATTCATTCCCATTTTGAATGTTTGTTTAAACGCCCATGTCGTGTTTCATGATACCAAAATGTCATACACCTGCAATGAAACATGACATTCCCCCACATGGTTGTACGTGGTAAGTATTAACTCCACGTGGTAAGTATTTGTAGTTGAAAGAGCTGGTGGTATTGGACCCTGTACAGCCAACGGTTCCTCTCCCCATTTGGATTTAATACTTACCACGTGGTACTTACTACGAGACAAGATGAATCCCATTTAATAGACACCTCTTAATAGAATTTCTTTATGCATTTTTCTGTAGTTTTTCTGCAAATGGTGTTTCTGCATTTTTTCTGCAAAATTCTTACATTTTGTTTTTTTTTTTTAACAATTTCTGCAAATTTTGAGTATTTCATGCATTTTTCTGAATTTTCTACAAAATTATTATAATCTCTGCATTTCCTGTAAAATTTTTGCATTTTTTGGTATGCATTTTTTCTGCAAAATTCTTACACTTGTTTT